TCGGGGCCGGCGTCGGGTCTGGGCGAGCTCGCGGCGCGCGGACGGCGGCTCGGGCGCCCCAGGTGACGCGGGCGGGAAGGGGCCCGGGCGTTCCCGGGGATGCTGGCCGCGCTGGTGTAGGAGACCCGAGTTCTCCGCCAGCTCCTGGGGAGGGTGATTGCGCCTCTGAACTTGGTGGTCACGATGGACTCCTAGTGGCATTACACTGGTGAAAGTTGTATGTACCTTTTGGAAAATATGCCCTAAGATTCACTTGAGAATACTACATTTAAAAAAATACAGGTGACCGATTTGGGGACGTTTTTGCCTTTTTCTCCCATCACTTATTAGCAAAATCTGAGATTGAAAATGTGATATATGTAACGCTTAAGTATCCTAATGGAGATGGATGATGTGTACTGTAATAATTTTAAAGTAGCTTTGAGCTCTTAAGTAGTTTTCACACGGCATAAATTTCTCTACATAAAATGTTGGTCAAAGCCTGGGACTTAAGGAGTACAGTTTCTATTTTGCCTTGAACTCCAAAGTTTTTTCTCCTTTTAGTCCTATTAAAGGAACCGTGATGATTTCTTGTAAATTTGTATTTTTGAAAATAAAAAGTGTGTACACCGTAAAATGACTAAATTGAGCTAATTAACTTGTAATCTTGCATTTTTGTGTGTGTGATGAGAATATTTAAAAAGTCAGCAACTTCCAAGTACTGTGGACAGTAAACTGTTATTTACTATAGCTATGGCTTCTTTCACATTATATAATGTTTTATAGGTTAATAATCTGTGGTTTCTTGGCCGTTCTTAAGACCTACTTCTGTAAAGTCCTGGTGGTTTTCATATTTATACCGTAAAATGTGTCAGTCAGCTGGTTAAACTTTCAGAAGGGAAATTAGGCCAGGAATTGACGTTTTTTGGCTTTTAGAGCATTTTTCACACATCATGATCTTTAATATCTAGCTAACGAGAAGACGTGAGTTGTCATAGCTCTTTCTGCGTTCAGTCTCTTGTACTGTTTTGAAGCTTTTGAGCAAACTACAACTTGTCACATACACAGATAGACTACTTTTTAGATTAATAGGAGTGTTCTGCTTTAACGTTACAACAGAGTACAAAGAATAGCATTTTTTTGAAAAGAGAAGTTGCTACATGAAATCGTAAAACATATCTGTTACACTAAATTCCATAGGTCTGTTTGTGCTTTCAATATTTTACCGCATCAAGATTGGTAATCTCAAGCATTCCATACTTTGGAAGTATTTTGTTTACTGAGTTCACACATCTCGGTGCACTGGAGATTCAGTCAGCTTCCAAATCAGTCACACGGGTGTAAGGCAACCATTGCATTTCAGTGTGTGGCAGAAGTGCTTTATGCAAGCTTCCTTGTGATGGTACACAGCATTTAAAAAAGATTTGATAATTCTGGCACTAATTTTTCTTTAATTTTCTCCTTTATCATTCTATCGTTTTAGAAACACTTGCTTAGGCAAGCTCAGGGGCCAGGGTTCGATCCCCACGCCTGCCCAAGCCAGCAGAGCCGGCAATGAGCCTGGGCATGGTGGCGCACACCTGTAATCCCAGCACTGGGGAGGGCTGAGACAGGAGGATCACTGGGAGTGTGAGCTGCAGAGTGAGACCCTGTAACCAATACCTTTTTTTTTTTTTTCTCGGAACCACGGATTGAACTCAGGCCCTTGCACTTGCCGGGGAAGCTCTTATTCTACTGAGCCATCTCCCCAGCCCTACTTTTTTTTTTTTTTTTTAAAGAAACATTTTATTATATATATATATATAGATAATGTGAATAGAATAAGTCTTTGTTTATTAAGTAGGTCAGTTATTTGAGATAGATTAGAAGTTGGAGAAAGTAGATTAGAAGTTGGAAAAAGTTTAATTATTTGAGGAAGGGTTTGCCACATTCATATATATGCCATCTGTTTTTCAGAATTTCTTTTTTTTGGCGGAACCGAGGATTGAACTCAGGCCCTTGTGCTTGCCAGGCAAGCACTTATTCTATTGAGCTATCTCCCCAGCCCCAGAATTTCAATTATTGAATCCAATATTTTGACTCTTGTTATATTCAAAATATTAGAATCCAGAAGAGTTGATCCTTCAACAGATGAAGAGGATGGAACACTGCACTCCTCAGAGAGTAAAGATGGTCAGACTTCATCCTCTGACAGTTCTAGCTCACTAGAAGAAAGAAAATTTTCATCAACAGGTTGGTCATTGTATAGTTTTAGTTCAGAGCCTCTGTGTGTGTGCGCGTGCGTGTGCAAGCATGTTCAGAACTGGACCTGGGTCCCTGTACTACCAGTATTTTCTATACAAATGATCCTCATTGTTGATGAAATAGCAGTGCTGAGCATGGGGCAGATCGGTTCTCATTCCTGATTATCAGAGCACAGAAGTTTATTCCTTAACATCTCTAAGGTCAGACAGCTTCTAAGAGGCTGAGGTGGGACTTAGCCATAGTAGTCCTCAGAGTTTATTCTCAGCTGTGGTGCTGTGCTGGGAGAGTCACTTTGTGTATTAGTCACTTTCCAGTTGTGGACAAAGTACCTGACTCTTGTAATTTAAAGGAGGAAAGGTTTGATTTGGCTTACATTTTAAAATCTGGCCCAGTGATGGCTGGCTCCAAATTGGTAGAAGGGTGTGGGGAACAAAGTTTACTTCATGGTAGCCAGGAAGCAAAGCAGCAGAGCAGTGCCATGGAGGAAGGGCTAAGGCAACCCCTTACACAGACCTCCATGATCCCCCCAGATGCCCACAGTGGCCTTCACAAGTCCCCCGGTGGATCCAGCACCACTCAGGTTGACAGTGCACTGTAACCACCACAGAATGGTGCTGAGGGGTGATAAGCTTTGGTCACTGAGCATGCTTCAGGTACATGCTGTGGCCTGTCTCAACCTCTAGGGAAGGGCTGGGGAGGTAGCTCAATGATCTAAGTGCTTGCAAGGTTTGATACCCAGTACTGCATGCCGTGCCAGTGCCACCCTGGGCCTGCAGAGCTGTAATCCTAGCACTGGGGAAGGTGAGACAGGCGGATCACTGGGAGTGCGAGCTGCATAGCGAACCCCTGTACCAAGTACATTAAAAAAAAAAAAAAAAAATCTAAGGAAGATGGCTTAATATGTAAGCATGCAACATGATGTTACCACTTTTTTTTAAAACCAGTGTATCTCCAAAGGTCAATCAGCCTATTGCCATTTGTGGGACAAATGGGACCTATCACCTGTTATTGTAAACTTAATAAATGCAGCCACATTTTTTCAGTTACTTTTTTATTATCTAAGGCTGCTTTGCACTACAGTGGCAAAAATAGAGAAGTCATAACAGATATATTCCACAAAGTCAGAAATATTTATCTGGATCTTTACTCCACTGTTCATAACTTGTTTTATGATATAGACTCATTGTGAAGTTCAGTGAAACTCTAAGATACTATTAAAACAAAATTCATAGAGTAAAAATCATAGTTTTATGAAGGACACGTTGTTTTGAAATATAATTATTGAAAATATATATATATATATTTTTATATATATATATAAAACCAGGGATTGAACTCAGGCCCTTGCGCTTGCCAGGGAAGCGCTTATTTCACTGAGCCATCTCTCAGACCCTTAAAATATATTTTAAAAGATTGATAATATAGCAATAAGTGCTTCTTTATTAAATTATTACATAATAACTAATAGCTTTATTACCTTGTAGGGTTTTGGGTTTTTTTTTATCCAGTTTTATAAGATACAGAAGTGATGAACTCTATGCTAACAATTTTGAACCTGGTAAACATTTGAAGCTTTGTTTATTTTCTAAACATAGCCCTGCTCAATAGCATCTTCTATTCTGAAAAAATGGGTGTTTTCTCTGTTTCATATAGTAGTCAGCAGCCACATCCAGGTATGGAGCTCTTGAAATGTACCTACTGCGACTGAGAGACTCAGTTTTTAGTTTGCTTATATAAAAGTAGTCATATATTGCCAGTGGCTACAGTAAAACAGGTGGCGCTAGAAGGTGTTAAATTAAGCCCTGTGAGTGAGGGCCTGCCAAGGGTTTGCAGCGCTGCCCACCCAAGGGCGGGGTATTGTTCCAAAATGCATGCGCTAGTGTTTTACGATCATAGTGATTGAAATGGTGCTAGATGTTGTGCCTGGAGGTTCCGGAAGTGAGAAGTAGGTAGCCCTCAGCAAGATGTCAGCAGCATGTGAGGTGGGAGAAAGCTAAAGATAAGATGGCGTGGCTCTATGTATTTCCTGATAAGTGTAGATTGAGTACTTTCTTCCTGTACTGACGAAGACTTTGTGCAGTTTATTAATTTATATAGCATATGTCAAAATAGTAAAAACATTAGAGACATGATGCCTTTTTTCTTTGTTAAGTGTAACGGACAGGTACTTCAGGCATTTCTGTTGGAGTTTGGGTTTCATTGTCTCCTTGTTTTTTTCAGTTAAAATCCCTGATGCGGCTTTTATTCAGGCAGCCCGCAGAAAGCGTGAACTGGCCAGGGTCCAAGGTGATTATATTCCTTTGGATGTGAAACATCCCTCCACCATCTCTGCTGTGGAGAGGGACAGTGAAGAGGATCCTGAGAGTGAGCCTGATGACCATGAAAAGAGAATACTCTTTACCCCAAAGCCCCAGACACTGAGACAAAGAATGGCTGAAGAAACAAGTATGTATTTCATGTATTTACCAATACACAGTGAAGGCATTCTTTCACCGGAACATATTATGATAAAATCTCCATTAAAATGTAATGTATCAGCCAGACGTGTTGGTGCATGCCTGTAATCCCAGCCCTCAGGAGGCTGAGGCAGAAGGATCATTGCAAGTTCTAGACCAGCCTGTGCTACAAAATGAGTTCAAGGTCAGCCTGAGCTGCATAGAAAGAGCCTGCTCTAAAAGACAAAAAAAAGGAACAAAAGTGTAGTGTATCATCTCCTATTGTAAAGAATACTGGTGCTGGTTTTTGTTTATGGTCAATTTGGTCCTGCCATTATGGCTTATAAAAGATATGTATTGTTGTCAAAGGGTATGTATTTTGGACAGAGAGGCCTGACTTCTCACCTGATTTGACAGTTAAAAAAAGATACATGGTCTCACTCTTGAAACATTAGAAACTTAGTATCATGTTTATAAAGATATTTTTTAAGATTTATCTTAAAATAGCTCTATCAAAAATTCTTTGGAGATTTTACGTCTAGGTTTCTTTTTTGTCAGTAATATATAAGTCTCAAATGGCATTTTCATATTCCTGATTTATGACTTAAGTTTTACCGAGTTTTTTGCTTCTTTAAATAATACTTTTTTCCAGAATGAGTTTGGTTCCTTGTAGCCCCAAAGTTATTTCCATTTGTACTCTCAGGAATTAGAGGATTTTGATGAAGAAATGCAGACATTTCATACTCTTCCAGTCTTTCCACTCTAGTGGGGCTAAAGTGTTTTGAGTGGGTAGTGGACGGCTGGGTGCAGGGTCTTGAGTCAGATCACTGCATTTCACACTACAGGAAACTTCAGTTATTTACACCACGGTCTGTGAGTTCACTCATTTATAAAACTAGCACTAAAATGTTGCCTTCTTGATTATTACGAAGAATAAGTGATATTTAAAGTATGTTTAACCTGCTTAGATAACCCCCACAAGTACTGCCTCTTGCAGTGGAAATGGGAAAATGTTAAATTTTCTTTGTGAACTTTTTTTCTTCTTTTAGTGAGCAGAAATGAAGAAACAAGTGAAAGCAGCCAGGAAGAGGAAAGTCACAACATTTGGGAACAGCAGCAGATGAGGAAAGCAGTCGCAGGCACTGAGGTAATGCTCATCATACCGTGTCTATTTGCTTCCTGTAGCTGCTGTGACAAATCACCACCCGCTCGGTGGCTTAGAACAGCAGGTGAATATTTTTTCTAGCCTGGAGCATCACGTCTGTTTTGTAAGGTAAATGAAATGTTTTCTTTTCTTTTTTTTTTTTTTTTTGCTCCGAATACCTTCAGGGCAGATTTGGCTGACTTGAGTTGTGGGGAGCCTGACTGCTTTGCTGAAGCAGCCACTTAAAGAACTGAGCTAAGGGGCAGGCCCCTGAAATGTTTTCTAAAAGGTGATATTCTTACTGTATCTAGGGAAGAAACAGAGGCCTTTCCCACATCAGTGATTCTCCAGCAGTGAAGAAGTTCGATACTTCCACTTCATTTCCACCAGTAAATTTAGAAATTATAAAGAAGCAGTTAAACACTAGGTGAGTCATATTTACTTTGAAGTTTACATTATACTCAGCATTAATAGTGAGCACTACATTCTTTTTAATTATGAAATGATTTATAAAGGAAAAAAAGCACCTGCTGCTACCATCTTATCTTTTTAGTTTTTATAATCTGCAATCAGTAATTATAAAATTCTACTGTTTTGCTTACTATAGTTAAAGCATTTTCTACATTGTTGGAAAGTCTTTAACTTTTTAAAAAAACAAAAAACAAAAAAAAAAGAACAGAATACTTTCTGGGGCCAGGGAGATGGCTCAGTAGAATAAGCGCTTACCTGGCAAGTGCACGGGTCTGAGTTCAATCCCTAATTCCGCCAAAAAAACAATATGCTTGTCCCTATACTAAATATGTCACAGTTTACATATGTATTTCTGTAGTGGGCATTTGATTTCCACTATAGCAAATAGTGAAGAACTTTCTAATAGGTAATAAACATTTTGTTCCTTTAAATCTTTTAATCTGTTGAAGTTTTTTCCTTAAAATACATTAACAGAAAAAGTTCCCTGTGGCGTGGGCTGTAGTTTTATATTTCTTGGTATGGCTTGCCTTTCCAATCACAGCTTTTACTTCACCAGTATTAATACTTACCTTTTAAATAGTATTAACCTTAATGTAAGCAATATATTTCTAAAAAGTACGGCAAAATACACCATAGTTATTTTAAGTATATGTATTTAAGTATGTGCTCAGTACTTAGTATATATTATTAGACATGTGAAAGAATGAAGGGGCTGGACAAATGTAATTAATTAGTCCTTGTCACAGTTTGATACAAAGGAGCAGATTTGGTTCTCCTGCTTTAAAAGAACATTTTTCACTGCTTTTTTGTCTCCTGAGAATAGGGTTAATATTTTGGTCCTCAGTATCTTTTCTGTAAATTAGCTTTAAAGTAATTTCATTCTTTCATCACATTACAACTAAAATGTAATTGTTGTAGTTTTTCACTTACATGAAGATTTGATGTAGATAATACTTTTGTAATGAAAGAAATACTTCAACATCTTCAGATGTATCAGGTTTCAGATACTAGGTTATCTTTGTATCCTGGGCCTTTGACAAGCTAGCAGCTCTTCATTTTTATAACAAAACAGAGAAAGTGAAGAAGGACCAAAGGGAATAATAGGAAGGGAGAAGAGAAGGAAGAGAGAGATAGGAGGAAGAGGACAAGGGGCAGGGGAGGAAATCTGTTTCTTGCTCCTTTGTTGGCACATATGTATGACAGGGGACTGAATTTTGAACAGTAAAGAGCCCTTCAATTATAATTGACTTTTTTCATGTCCTATCAGTTGAGGTCTAGGTTATTCACAAGGAAAGAAAACACACTGTCGTATATTTGACAGGGCAGCATTTAGGGAAATAAAACAGCAGTAGCCAAGGTAAGGTGCACCTCCAGAAGCAGTAGATTCTGATGCCGCCCAGAAATCGCTGTGGGTCACAAAACATAAATTTAAATCACACCAGGCCATAGCATGCTTAAATAACATTAATGCCAACTTCAGGTACGCAATATTGTGAGACTGCAGATTAACAGTAACTGCACATGGACTTTGAAATACAAGACCATTGATATAGTTTCAGAGCCTACTTTATGCATTTTCACCAATGTTAGCTTAAAACCACATTCATTACCTTGTGTAAAATTAGCCTGTGATGAGCTTTTGCCCCGGAATCCCCACCAGTGTCCTTTATACACTTCCCTGTTAAGGTATCTCTAATTGTGATTTCCTTTGCTTATCAAAGGCCAATAAATCCAGATTATATGCTCATCAGCATCCCTGGTTATCTTTGAAAACATTTGCAGGGGAAAGCTACTTTAAAGGGAAAAGTTTGAAAATTTGAAATAAAGCATATTTGTTATTTATTTAGATTAACATTACTACAGGAGACTCATCGCTCACACCAGAGAGAATATGACAAATACGTAGAAGACATCAAGAGCTCAAAGAGTACAATCCAGAATCTGGAGACTTCGTCAGATCAAGCTGTAAATTATAAGTTTTATAAAGGCATGAAAATGTATGTGGAAAATTTAATTGACTGTCTAAATGAGAAGGTATATATAAATATATCACTTCCTTTTTTTGAGTGATACCATCCTTACTGTGTATGCAGTTAGAAAGATAAAAGTCTAAATCTCACTATATAATGCTTTTCTAGAGTATTTTTCCTATACAGCTTTAATATAGGGTTTTTTCAATTACTTTGTTATATTGTATCAAATATTGTCTACAAAAATTATGTGTTAAAATTTCAATTTAAGAAAAATTTCTAGAAAATGAAATAAAGCAGAGTGAATTATTAAGTATAAATATTTTAAGGGTTATTGAGCATTTTGTCAGATTGTCATCCAGAAAGATTTTGCCAGTTTTATTAGTTAACTAAATTAGGGGGAAAAAATAGATTTGGGTTTTGTACATTATTTTCTGATCTCAGACAAACCCTTCTTAATTACCTCCATGCAGTTTTTCTTATAACTTGATTATTTTTTGCCCTCTTAGCATTTTGATTCTTAGTGCGGATTGTTTTTCAGTTTTTTGGGTTTTTTTAGTCATGATGAACAATTCTTTATAGCTGAACCCTTAAATGATTTACCTTATTTAATGGAAACTTCCTAGTTTGTCTTTTCATTTTCTCATTATCGACATTCACATATTTTGAAATTTTTATATTGCCAGATTTATTATTTCCATTTATGCTTTGTGGCTTTTGTTCTGTGTGTACTAAAAATGGTGACAAGTGTTTGCATGCTTTGTCCTTTACTTTTGCTTTGTGTAGGCTGTGCCCCAATATCATTTGGTAGTTACTTTCTGAGGCGCTGTTCACAATGTAATTTTTTCCGTCATTCACCCTTGCATAAGCGCAGTGTTTAAGTCCTATTGAGTGCACACTGGTGAGTCCTTAACAGCAGCTGTGAAACACCATTGCAGCGGGAGCAGCTATTGCACGAGAAACGAGAGACCCAGTTTCAACTTTCCACCATTTCTTATTGTCCCTCATTGGTTTTCTTGTATTCTTCATTTATTTTTGTTTAATCCCCAGCCCTGTGGTCCGGTATTGATACCCACCAGCTTCTTGCAGCTTTGTCTGCTGTCTGCCCCAAGGCTGTGAGGCAAGCCGCACTGCCTCCCATTGCCTTCCTCTCTCCAATCACAGGCAGAGGAGCCCTTCCTTCCTCTTTTCTGTCACTCATGTCCATGTTCCCAGCTCCATCCCATGTGGTTCCGTTATCTGTGATATTTGTAGCTTTCCCAGTATAGTAGGATGCTTTTCTCTTTGATACTGAGTGTCTGCCTCTAGGTCTGTGCTCACAGCATCTTATAACTGATATGTGACCATATTGGAAACATTTTTTTCATATAAAAGTCAAGCATATGCTTACATATCTTCCAAGTAGTTTTTATATATCTTATAGTTCATTATGGGCGACCTGCAAAATGTTACTTGTATATGTATTTCAGATTATCCACATCCAAGAAATAGAGTCATCCATGCATGCACTTCTCTTAAAACAAGCCATGACCTTAATGAAACGCAGGCAAGATGAATTAAAACATGAATCAACGTATTTACAGCAGTTATCACGTTAGTGCTTTTTATGTTCAATATGATTTATTATTAAGCTAATGTATCATCTAGAAAATAAAAATATTTCTATCCCTTTATAAAATATTTTCTGTATATTTTCACACTAGTCTGTTATCCTCCCCTTTCCAAAATTCCAAAATATTCGAATACTTTAAAGTTAAAAGATAAATACCGTAACTTCTAATCACTTGCTCTTTGAGACGAGACATTTAGATGGCCATTTGGTGGATCTGCGATGGGTACACATAAGTCTATTCTTTCAGCCAGAGATACAACCTTAACAGTTTTAAGGGCCCTTCCACCAACTAGTTCTGTTGAGTATAAGTATGAATTCCTCTGTAGGATCTCATTGTATAAAATTTGGACTCTTTTAATTCTCACATTAGTTTTTGTTGTTGTTGTCTTATGAGGTCTTACTTTGATTCAAGGATTTCAGTGAAAGGGATGTGAAATTCAGTATGTAATAAAAGAGGCAAAGTGACTTTCATATGCATGATGTTCAGTTGGTTATAAGTAATGGAGAATGTTAATATTGTCAATAAGATGAGTCAGATATGCTAATATGTCTGTCATTTGGGCATGGAGAAGGCTGGCAAAATTGCCAAAAAAAAGAATGTGAGGGAAAAAACATTGTGATAGAATTTTGTTTCTATTCTCAAGGGCCAGGGAACATTTTTTTATGCTAACAGAAGTGGTACCTATTAATATTGTGGTAGAGAATGAACATTGAAATTGCACTGTACAGTAAAATACACAGTTTAAGCATGTTATGTGCATATTATTTGTTAACAGGCAAAGCTGAGGTATCAACAAATGGAACCTTGTCTGTAGATGAAAATGCGCAAAGGATTTTAGAAGAAGTTGAATCACGAAGGTACTTACATAAAGTGAACACTTAAACCATCTTTAAGCAAGTATACTTTTAACTTAAGTATACTTAATTGTTCAATATAATTCAAGCAGTCTTCAACAGCTGTGAAGACACCAGCTATACTCAGATCAGTGGAAAGGACTAGACTAGACGCTGTTCCCAATTGTTACCCCTCTCTAGAAATTCGATTAGCCCTTGGATTATGCTATAAGGAAAAAGGGAAAACCACCAACTCAAAGGAAGCTAAATGTGAACGTAGTAGCATAAAATTGTGTGCCAATACGATGCTCTGGTTTTGGCCATTTTAAATAATAAAATTATTTACTTTTCTCTTAACGCATTTTTTTCAGCAAGAGTTATTTGCTTTCACTTAGTTTTGGTGTCCTGAAAAATATAGGTCACAAAGAAGACAAGCAAGAGCGCTTGCTGGGAATTGCAGCCATCAGGAGGGGACGTCTAGTGATGATGAACTGCCCGCTGCAGAGATGACTGACTTCCAGAAGAACCACGGTCAGCTACCAGGCTTCTGATGTGTCTGGACATTTGAAGCATTGAGACAATGGGAAATGCTCTGCTGTGACTGCCTTTGAATATATGAGCTATATAGAACAGTGGGGAAAATGAAACTTTATTTTTTAACCTCTTTATGACTTTCATGCTTCTAGATGAGTGAAATATGGAGAAGGAGCATATGCATATTCTTTCATCTGTATAGCTTTTCCCCTTAGACTTTCTTCTATAAACATGAGAACTTGGGTTTCATTTCTTTACTGCATACTTCCTAAAGTACCATTTTTATTTTAAAACAGTTGAATTTAGTGAAACTGATTTTGGCATTAAGACGCAATATGAAGATTCTGGGCATTGAAGTTAAATAGATTTCAGTTCAAAAGACTTGATTCTTTGTTCTTATAGTAAAACTCATTGACCACAGTCTAATATTTGCTGTATAAATAAATAGCTTAAGTCTGCGCTATAGAGGAGATAGGTTCACGAAATGAGATATGTTTATTGTCTCTTGACATGTAGCAGGGACTCAGTAAATGGTAGAATTTGTTAGTATTAATATCACTTTTACCAAAGTGACAAAATGATTTTTTAATAAGAATATATTTATAGGGCTGGGAAGATGGCTCAGTAGAATAAGCGCTTGCCTGGCAAGTGCAAAATCCTGAGTTCAGTCCCCGGTACCAGGGGGAAAAAAAATACATTCATATGTCAGTGTGAAAGTTTTCAGAATTGATTACATAGTCGTGTGCAACTGTACAAGGAAGCAAACTTAAAATGCATTATATAAAGAGATTTATTTTCTTTACAGATGACATTTTACAGGATCATAAGAAAGTTTTTGAAGATGTGAATGATGATTTTTGTTGCATCCAGAATATTTTATTGAAATTTCAAGAATGGCGAGAAAAGTTTCCTGATTCGTATTATGATGCCTTCATTGGTTTATATATACCAAAGCTTTTAAATCCTGTAGTAAGATTTCAATTGATTGTTTGGAATCCACTTAAGGTATTTAAGTTTAATGTGTGATTGTCCTGCTCAAATTAATTGCTTAATTTCCCTTGCTGTCAGCTTTTAAAACACCTTACCCATAGGGTTGGTACTGAAAACTGATACTTTAGAATAACAGAGTAACAATCTGAAATGAGCACCTGAAGTATTTGTGGCATTTTTCTTCTCTTGGGTCTCACTTGATTTTTAAGGTTGGGCAGCACAACATCAGTAACACAATTTGGGGTTTTTTGGTCTTTTTCTTTTTTCTTTCTTTTTTTTTTTTTTGTGGTAGTTCTAGGGATAGAACCCAGGGCCTCGTATATGCTATGCCAGGCAGATGTTTTGCCCTTTTTGTCTTCTTTAGAGAGAGAATCTCATTAAGTTGCCCGGTCTGGCTTTGAACTTACAGTCTCCCTTTTCGGCCTCTTTAATAGCTGAGGGTATAGGCCTGTGTGCCATGGTCAGGATAGCTGCTTCTATGGTTTGAAATTCTGCCCTGAAGTAGAAGGTACTATTAGGTTTGGGGACATTTGACATAAAAGGCTTGTTCTAGGGGTTTTGAAGTAGGAGATGACATGTTGAGAAGACTTACTTAGGAAAGGTAAATTGAAGAGGAGGAGTAATTTAAGTGAAGCACTGAAAGGTATATAGAATTCAGCAGAAGGAGAGAGAAAATGAAAGGCTTTGCAGAAGTATAAAGGGAAAAATATTAGGGTAAGAGTAAGAGCTTACACTTAAGTTCAGCTCCCGAATTGAGAGAGAACTCATTTTGGTATTAGGAAGACTGATATGTTGGAAGTCATGTTTTAGGAAGTCCCAAGAGTAGGCTGATTGGAGGGAAGGGAAATACAAGGTAGGACACCATTCCCATCACCCATTGTGACACATTCTTCATGTGCGGACAGTGCTAAAGGGAAGAGAAGGGAAGGATTAAATACAAGAGGCATTATGAAATAAGGAGGAATAAAATTTAGACCTCTCCATACAAACATAGCCCCCAAGTTTTGGATTTTAAAATATTAGCAGAATATTATTCCATTAATAGAAATGGGAACTTTTCAGAAAGAGAAAGCATTTTAGAAGGAAGTTTTACTTTACAGGTGATGACATGCTAGGGAAACATTCATGTGAATATGTGTACTAAGCAAGCAGAAACGAGAACGTGGACTGATGAGAGGATGATGATTAAACAAAGTGATAGAGCCGTGTCCTTACCTGTGTGTTTCCCCAGCTGAGGATTGAACCCGGGCCTCGCGTACGCTGGAGGCACACTGCTCCTTCTTTGTCAGACGTGTTATTCCCTCCAGGATACGTAGGTGCAGAACTGCACAGTCTGTACCAGCATTACCCAAGCTTAATCCTAAAACAGTGTCAGGAAGCTGGTTGGCAACAACCTAGTGTTAACCTTTCTGGCTGATTTTGGTAGCAAAGATCATTCATCCATTTAGTAAATAATAAATGTCCATCTATTTACCAGGAGGCTAAATCACAGCAGGTTTCACAGTTTTCCTACTATAAATTAAAAGGACTAGAAGTACATTTTGTTTGAAATTAATACAATTTTAGAAACAAATTTTATGACCATTTCAAGTGCTTAACAAATGAATACTTCACCTAAGCAGGAGATTTGCCACGTGGTGGGTCTGAAGGCCCTGGCACAGCACATGGTTGTTGAGTATTGTGGCACCTTGGGTCATGAACTTGGTTCTTTCCATTATTCTGATTACAATCAGGTTGGACAAGTACCAAATCACATTCATTGGTTAGGGTCAAAGTTGGTCGTTTGGAAAATTGGATTCAGTTCTCATCCAGATCAGTTAGGACCCGAATCATGGAGATAACTGAGTTCGTGAACCGAGGTGCTGCCACTGCATTGCTTGCGTCGAACGGATGCATGAAATGCAGCTATTTTTCCTTGTCTGGGACCATGTCTGAGTCCTGTCACTCGGCCTAGCCTTGGTGCACTGGTGCTGCACACATAATATTAAAGTAGAAGTTATTCTCCTTGATTCTTAGAAAAGTTCTGGTAATCATTGAAAAGGTTAATAACTTTTAAAATACACTTCTGTTTAAGAATTTGTAACTTTTATAATTTCCTTTGTCAGTTGAGCTCCATGGGCTTAAAACAGATGTCATGGTTCACATCTATAGAAGAATTTATTGATAGAGGTGTAGAAGATACGAAGAAGGACACTAGTTCTGATAAAGAAATTTTGTCTACTGTCATCAACAAAACAATTATTCCTCGACTTACAGGTACTTTCTTGCAATCTTACTGAAATTAAAATGCTTTTTGACAGCCTTTTAAGATCATTAATTTCTATTATAATCACAAATATTTTTTCCAAAGTTTTGGAGCACTAGGAATATTATTTGCAATAATGATCAAAAATTGTCAGATTTCAGCTGGCTTAAAAACAATTGTAGAAGTGGTTGGCGACCAAACCTCTGACACTGGGCCTTTAATATTTGTAACATTACTGCTGTTTTTGTGACACCTAATTCATGTATTAGTGGTGCTGTGTTTCTTTTTCTCTCTCTTCCTATTGTTTTTTCTTGCTTTTCTCAAAACATTCCTGCATCTTCTCATGTGCCACTACCAACTGTCAGCGCTAATGCATCTTTAAACTTTTGTTTCACCTACAACTACCTGATAAGGATCTGTTTTACTGTGTCACAGAGAATGGATTTTGGCAGCAAAGCCTGCACAGCACAGTTTTAAAAGCTGAAGCGGTCCATCTTGCATTGTTTTGCACTCAGTTTGATTAACTTTGAAAAATGTTTAGTATTTTTCTGAAAAATCCAAATTCTCATGATTACATAATCCCACAAATAAATGGCTTTATAAGAAATTGATACCTGTAGTGGTTCCTATAATGGATAAATTCTGTACATATTTCAAAAGTGGCACTTACAGTCTTTGCTGACGGATTGGTTATGGGGCAAGGTAAGAAGAAAGGAATCAAGAAGAATGATCAGATGGTTTGGGCCCTGAACACATGGAAGGACAAAGCTGCTGAAATGGAAAAGAGTGAGAGGAGTAATACATAGAGCAGGGCAGAATATCAGGAGCTCAGGGCCATGCTGGGTTTGGGATTCCTTTCATCCAAGTGCAAATAGCAAATAAACTGTTGAATGTATGAGTCTTAAAGGGGATGCTGGCAGGTTTATGGTAGGAACTTATTATTACTGCTGTAACAGGACTTTAGATTCTAAGGGCTGGCCAAATAGCTCAGTGGATTAAAGCACCTGCAAGCAGGCACAGGGGCCAGGGATTCGATACCTGGGCCTGCATTTGAGACTGGGCGTGGTGGTGTGTGCCTGTAAATCCAGCTCTTGGGAGGCTGTGAACACTCCAGTACGAGTTTGATCTAATAGTGAGATTCTGAACACCCTGTAGACCCTTCTCTAAAATACAAAAAAAAAAAAAAAAAAGGACTTTAGATTCTAAGGAAGAGAATATAAATAGGAAAGAGAAAAGAAGTGACCTGAGTCCTGGGGTATTCCAGCATTTAGAAGTCAGAGAGGTGAGAAGCTAGCACAGACCAAAGGACAAGGCTGAAAACCAGGAGCTTGCTAACCTGGAAGACAGGTAAAGAAAGAGTGAGCGAGAGGAATGGTAAACCATTGCAGTTGTTGGGAATGACTTAGAATTAGAAAGCAACCATTGTTGTTTGCTGTATGAATGTATCCTGTAATTTAATAAAGTCATTTTAGAAAGAATGGTGGGAAATGAAGCCTAGCTGAAAGGACTGTAAGCACAAATAGAAAAATTGGAGATAAATGTTTAAACAACATTTTAAGGAATTTTTAAAAGAAATGGAGCAGTACTACAGAGGGTATTCAGGTTATAGGGGGAATTATATTTCATACAAAAAAAATTGAAGGTAGATATGAGAATTCCAATAGAAATTATGGTACTGCTGAAGGTGAAGAGCAGGGGCTTGGAGTGCAACATGGGGTTGCTTCTTGTGTATGAATCAAGGGTTGGCCCTACCTGGGAGCATGAGTGCTCCGCTTGCAGGAGTAGGAGATGCGCCAGAGCCTGTGGGCCAAGGGGCAGGTAGGTGTTGATTCAGTGTAGGCACTGTAAAGCTTCTCTGATGCTTGCTTCTGTTATCTGTTCTTTATCAAATTAGGAAGTAAAGTAAGCTAAGAAAGAGAGCAGGAAGGAGGAGTTGCTCATCTGGGCGCTAGGGAGAGGGAATGGACTAGAGAAGGGACTGTGACTGCTGGCCACAAGAATGGCTCACTTGAGTTTATGGTGATCAATTTAATGTGATTTTTTTTTAAAGCTATATATTAGCTATGTGATTTCAGGCATCAACTCAGTGACAGGGTGGATTTAACGAGAGTCTGGGGTAACCAGGAAAGTCCCACTAAGCCCAGAGAGGACAAGGAAGATCGAAGGGTTGTACAGATGTGTGGTAGTGATGGTTGTCCACTGCAGCCTGAATAAGGCAGGAAGCAGTGTTAAAGTCCTTAGCTGTTTGTATATGCTCAGTAAAGCAGTCTATCAAAAAATTGTATACCTCTCAAATACTTGTTTCAGACTTCCTAGAATTCATTTGGGATCCCCTGTCAACTTCACAAACAACAAGTTTAATAGCACACTGTGGAGTAATTCTTGAGGAACATTCTACTTGGAAAAATGAAGTTAGTAAAAGCAAACAGGTAAAAACTTCTTGAGCCTTAAATATAGCTCAAAGGTAGAACATTTGCCTGGCATGTACAAAGCCCTGGAATCAACCCCCAGTACTACAGAAAGTATTTTGTGGAAGCATTTCCTAGAAAATAGTCTTCTTTTTCTTGGCACAGCATTCAAAACATTTAAGAAACTGAGTAAAACTAAATCAAATTTGTTTAAATTTTTATTTTTTTCCCCCCAGTATTGGGGATTTAACTCAGGACCCTGCGCTTGCCAGGCAATAGGAGATAGTTTCTAATGAGCTATCTCCCCATCCCCCAAGGTCCTTAGTTTGATTCCTGGTACAAAAAA